CCAACTGAATGTCTTTAGGCATAATTGTTACGCGCTTAGCATGGATTGCGCATAAGTTGGTATCTTCAAAAAGACCAACAAGATAAGCTTCACTAGCTTCTTGCAAGGCCATGACAGCGGAGCTTTGGAACCTCAGATCAGTCTTGAAATCTTGAGCGATTTCACGAACCAAACGTTGGAATGGTAATTTTCTGATGAGGAGTTCAGTGCTCTTCTGATATCTTCGAATTTCACGAAGAGCAACAGTTCCCGGCCTGTAGCGATGAGGTTTCTTCACTCCACCGGTAGCTGGGGCACTCTTACGAGCAGCTTTAGTAGCCAGTTGTTTTCGTGGAGCCTTTCCACCAGTTGATTTACGAGCGGTCTGCTTGGTACGAGCCATTGTTTCCAATCGTAGCAGAGGTTTTACAGCGAAATATATGATGCAACAGCAACACGTAAAATGCGGCTAAGCCCGCTGGGGCTGTTCTTTTTATGCAGTAGAGCTAACGCTCGGTTGCCTTTGATTGGTTGAGCACAAACTGGAGGGGGCTAACCGAAGAAAGTGCTAGAAGGATCGAATAATGCATGTCATACTGTTGAATCTTTTTGTAATAGATTTTACAATTAAAAATTTGAAAGTTGTATTAAGAGAGAAAGAAATATTTAAATAAAAAATTTTATCATTAATAGGGACCAAATAACGAGCCCGACGCCTAAGTTATTCAAGTCTAAATTCAGAACTATTTGTAAGAAATACAGGATTGAAACGAAAGCACAGCATTTGATAATTGACATAACCGTAAGACATTTTGTTCACGTTCTTAAGAGTTAACGAGGCTATTGTTTAAACTTTCCTGAAAAATTTTCTATGGGTTTCAGAAAACTGAACTTTTAATAGTTATGTCAATATTTGTTCGATATATACTTTCTAGGTACAGTTTATTATGTTTCCTTCAAAAGTTTTCTCTTGCTTTAATTTATGGGAGGGTTCAATTTCTTTAACAATTCTTTTGAGAGGACGGCATAATTTTGAAACTTTTATATTTATTTGCAGAAAAGCCAATTTAACAATGTTAAAATGCTTTCACAAGTTAAATCCCAAAGATTCTAAGAAAGAAAATACTTTGAGTGATATACTGCTTTCTTCTTTTCAGTCCCGCTTTGCTAACAATAGCGCTATGGCAATTTACTGTTTTCTTCTGTTTATTTTTGAAAATTTTTTTTCCTTTCCCCCATTTTATATGCCCGTAACTATATCTGTATTAAGGTCTGGCTTTTCTTTTTTATGTTAAATTCCAAAATTAAATTCGATTTATTAAAAATCTTCGTGATATTTGTATACATACTATTTATAAACTATTATATTACTATTAAATATCTGTATTTATAGAAAGAATTATCTTGAACATCAATAAAATTTTCAAGAAAGAAAATTCTGTTTCAAATTACTGTATTAACTCTGAACCTATAAAGCAGATGGAGGACTGAAACTGCCTTCTTCCTATGGCAACAAGGCATCTAAAATTTAAACTTCAATTTAAAATTTAATTTTTGCTTGAAAATTTTAAAGGTATAAATAAAGATAGAAAACGACTCATCAAAAATTCAGGAGAGGCCTGCTTACATGTACAAAGGGTGAAGCAGATGTTCGGTGCAGATGTTCAGTTCTATGCAGGGGACTGAACTACGATGCGTACTTCAAACTCCGACTACAAAATGTTATACACCGTTAATAATTCGACGTTTCAAAATATTGCGTCGTGCAAGACTGAATAACAGAATCGACTTCGTCTATATGAATTTTGACTTCTGAACAATTATATATATTATTGCATCAATTGATGAGGTTTTCTTTGTTCTTAATAAATTTCTATAGTATGGCGACGAGCAGATAAGGACGTAAAATGTTACAGGAAGAGAATTTTACCTTCACTGGTTTGGCAATTACTTTGATAAGTATTTATAAATGTAGTGAAAAACCAAGTGTTTCTACATTAGAGAAAATTTTGGCCCTAAAAAGGGCCGATTATTTGAGCTATTTAAGCTCTTTCTCCACGAATACGACGTGCCAACTGAATGTCTTTAGGCATAATTGTTACGCGCTTAGCATGGATTGCGCACAAGTTGGTATCTTCAAAGAGACCAACGAGGTAAGCCTCACTAGCTTCTTGCAAGGCCATGACAGCAGAGCTCTGGAACCTCAAATCCGTTTTGAAATCTTGAGCGATTTCACGAACCAAACGTTGGAATGGTAATTTTCTGATGAGGAGTTCAGTGCTCTTCTGATATCTTCGAATTTCACGAAGAGCAACAGTTCCCGGCCTGTAGCGATGAGGTTTCTTCACTCCACCGGTAGCTGGGGCACTCTTACGAGCAGCTTTAGTAGCCAGTTGTTTTCGTGGAGCCTTTCCACCAGTTGATTTACGAGCGGTCTGCTTGGTGCGGGCCATTGTTTCTAATCGTAGCAAAGATTTTACAACGTACCGTACAATACAACAGCAATTACGTCAAATGCGGCTAAGCGCGCTGGGGCTGTTCTTTTTATGCGGTAGAGCTAACACTCAGTTGCCTTTGATTGGTTGAGCATGGACTGGAGGGGGAACTAAAGCTATGAGTTTCATCATCCTATCCCGCCAAATCTGGGCTGCAGGAGCAGTTCAATATCACGTAAACCAAAATTTGGACAATGCAGAAAAAATTATACTTAACAAATATTATCCTTAACAAGTTTTCTTCGAATTGTACTTAACAAATCTCATATTTCAAGGAACTTCACGATTGTACACATCCCTAAAATCAAATAATTCATACAAATATAAGAACAAAAATATATAATCGGATAAATCTTTTAACACTATTCCTCAAGTGGAAAACCAAAGAAGCAGATTTTGAAAATTTTCTTGTAAGTATACATACTTTGCTAATAAAAACCTACAAGTTATTACCAATCAACATTCTTTCTAAATACAAATTAGAGGGTTCATAAACAATTCCAATAGCTATAAAAAGAAACACATAAAAAAAGAAAGAAAACTATTATCTTACGAAATTCTACATAAACCTAACCAACAATCTCGAAGTTGAATCATACAAAGTTAAGGAACTGGATAATTATAGCCCATAAAATTCCAAATAAAATTTTTGTAATAATGCTATAAACTCTGTAATAAACAAACAGCACGAACTGCAAATTTGTCTACAAATTACCAGAAAGAATAATTATCGCCAACTGATTATAACAGATTAGATTAAAATCGAATAATACAGAATAAAGCAAATAGAAATCCAACAGTCAATATATACCTGGAGAAGCAAACCGTATTCCTACAGAATATGAAAGATGTTCCCAGTTAAAATTAATCCGCAGAAGCACTTACAATTCATACAAAATCACAATAGTTGGTGCTGCTTACTGTAAAGATAAATTAACCACTCTCTGGACACATTAACTGGACTCTCTAATCTAAAATAAATAATTATTTAATCCAAAATAAATAATTTCAATGCAACAGATTTCGAAACAGTCTAAGTAACAGTCATTCTTTCAGTGACTTGAGTCACTACCATTCTTTCATTTGTTTTTCAAAAATTATCCTAACTTGTACTTTTCCACTCGTTTGTCATTAAAAACAACTATTTATTTCAGAGTGTTGTGACTTTTCTTTCTATTACGAAGAAATTTTTATCATTTCATATCATCAAAATCAGGCCATCCAATCTTCCAAAAGGAAAATCTCATTATATTGTAAACTTCGGACGTAACATGAGTTCTAATATATATAAATTTATAATTACGTATTAGATCATGTATAAATTTATAATTAACTATGCAAAATGGAAAAAATTTTCAGTTTAATTTACGGCGATAGGGAAAATGACTTGGTAACAGGAATATTATTATTCCAGCTCGGAATAAAATTGATTTAACGATCAAAGTTAAATTGATACGATTAAATTAAAAGGAGGTTTACAAATAGCGTCATTACAAATATCGATATTTCAATAAAAGTCGATTTGAATATTATCGATTATTGGATATTCGAATAATGTACAGCGTTGTTTGCTTGACAGCCAATAGTTGCAGAACGTTTTATTGTGATGAGACGAGATTTTTATGAATGAAATCTATTTAATAAGTTTCAACGATTACTGCATTTATTTTGGTGCGTAATTTCTGCCTAATTTATACGTAATATCATGCTTTAAAAATATAGTTACGTACATTTTCTTTATAATATAGGTTATGTTTGAACTGCATATAAGGTTAAGTAACCGCACGTTATTAATTTTGTGTATTTGTTTTTGCAGTTTATTTCTACAATAAATAATCATTTGAGATGTCAGATGACGAAGATTTGGTTTATGTCAAAAAACAGAAGACTGTTCATTATGGATCTCTTGAAGAAGTGGAGCGTGCTAGATTGGCCGTTGTGGCTGAATCTTCAGAAGAGGAGAAAGATGTTGCGAATTTGGGAGATAATGTCAGTGCTGCTGCTACTTTGGGAAACATTCATATATCAAATGAATATATGGAGCTTGAAGATGAAATGTCTAAAGATAGACAAGCTCTCTTAGAAGAATTTGAACGTAGAAAGAAAGCCCGTCAAATTAATGTGTCTACCGATGATTCAGAAGTAAAGAAAAATTTAAGACAATTAGGAGAACCTATTTGTTTATTTGGTGAAGGACCCGCAGATAGGAGAACAAGATTAAGAGAATTATTGGCTAACTTGGGAGAAGATGCAATAAAAAAAAAGCATGAAGATGAGGATAAGCCTTCTCATCCAATTGAGAGAGATACAGAAACAACATGGTATCATGAGGGACCAGAGTCACTTCAAATAGCACGTTCTTGGATCGCCAGTGAGTCTAAACTATAATATTTTTAATTTTTTTATATTTTGTTTGTTTATTTGTGTGATACTTTTATTTATTTGATAGCATATTCATTACCCAGAGCAAAGGCTAGATTGGACAAAGCAAGGCAAGATTTAGAGCTGCCAACAGCTACACGTACAGCACGTCGTCAAGAGCTTCTGAAAAAATTACAAGCATTAACAATTTACTGTTCTCAAATCGGGGATACTAGGCCAATTTCTTTCTGTCAGTTCAGTCCAAATTCCAAAGTGCTCGCTACAGCTTCATGGTCAGGCTTGTGTAAATTATGGTCTGTACCTGACTGTACTTTGTTAAGAACACTTAAAGGACATACTTGTAATGTTGGCTGCATTGTTTTTCATCCAAAAGCTACTATTACTGAAGAGGTGGTTGGAGAGAGAATTGGACAGACTTGTGTGTTAGCATCCTGTGCTTCGGATGGTATACAAATTTTACAATATACAAATTTTTTTATTCCACTAAAAGATTATGATTATACAGTGCCGTAAATATTGTTTCTAATATTTATTGTATATCTAGGAACAGTAAAATTGTGGAGTGGTGGATCTGGAGAGGAACCTTTAGCTGAGGTCGAAGGACATGAACCACATAGAGTTTCAAGATTAGCATTTCATCCATCTGGTAGATTTCTTGGAACTTGTTGTTATGACGCATCTTGGCGACTTTGGGACTTGGAACAACAAGCAGAAGTCTTACATCAAGAGGGTCACGCCAGAGCTGTCCATTGCATTAAGTAATATATTTAAAATTGTCAATATCTGCAATAAAAAAAAAAGTAACGTGTTCAACAGTGTCGATATATAGCTTTCAGGGCGACGGTAGTGTAAGTGCCACAGGTGGTCACGACTCTTTCGGTCGAGTGTGGGACCTTCGTACAGGACGATGCATTATGTTTATGGAGGGACACTTGAAATCTATTTTCGGTATCGACTTTTCTCCGAATGGATTTCATATAGCAACAGCGAGCGAAGATAACACTTGTAAAATATGGGACTTGCGAAAGAGATCTTGCGTGTATACAATACCCGCACACACAAATTTATTGTCAGATGTGAAATACCAAAGGATAGAAGGACAGTACCTGGTCACAGCATCGTATGACAATACTGCTAAAATATGGTCAAATAAAACCTGGCAACCACTTAAAACGTTACCAGGTCACGATGGTAAAGTTATGTCCGTCGATATTTCCTCTGATCATAAATTCATCGGCACCAGTTCTTATGACCGAACGTTCAAATTGTGGGCTCCAGAAAACATGTAAAATGTCTTGCTCAAATAAAAATTAATTTAAAAGGAAGACTTCAAGAAGACTACTTTGATGACGCATACAAGAAGACTTCATTTTTATACCAAAAGAGAAGTAATAAACATATATTCTTTATTATTTGTTTTTCAAATATTATTATACTATGTCATTTCATATTATCATATTATTTAATTTCAAATTATTTCGTTAACGTTTGGTTTTTTTATAGTTTAAAAGAAGAAGCAGGCATTTGAAAGCTTGTTATAAATTAAGCTCTCATCTCTTTCAATTGAATCATGAAACACAGAAATCGATTGTCTCTTGTCAAATCCGTTCGAAATGCGTTTTGTTTAAATATTTCTCTGAGTAGCTTATGGGAATGGCTTAAATTAAAATTAAAATTTGTACGAATTGGTTCGTTCAAATCTCTCGATCCTAATGAGCCTTCGGTTTTAATGAAGTAAGAACATAGTCTTCTTTTTGATTTTCCTTTTCAAAAATAGTGCCAATCCTTGGTCGTACCATAAACTTGAGCACCATTCGAAAACTTTCGAACAAGTTATTTTGCGACCATGATGTAGAGAACAGTCGTTAACGAAGATAAACACTTGTCTTCAATCTTATAGATTAAATAAAATTTATAGATTTTATAAACGTCTAATCGTACAAAATATTCCCTATCGACAATAGTAGTAGCGATTTATAGGTTTTTGAACTACTTGTAAAATTATTCTTGTAATTGAAGAGATTGAACTCTGTACTTAGTTTGTTGTCCGATTATAGTTTACGTCATTGTCGATAAACAATTATACGCAATTCATGAGATATTCCTGCTTGTTTATGTTCAACGATTTTTACATATTTTTATCGATTTTTATTCTTATATCTGCTAAATGATTTGCAGCATCATTAATGAAATTTAGAAAGTTCTTAATTAGTGTCTCTATTTATGCTTGAGGTAACTTGAAAGTTTTTAATTTGATAGTCAACTGAGGAGTTGCAAATATAATCGTATGACTTAACTTTTGCAATAACCAAAGTAACTGTGAACAAGAAGGTCACTTTTACTTTGTTAACTTTTTAGAGTAACAATCAGATGCTTTTTGGCTAATAAGAATTCATATTATAAGAAATTGCCTTCTTTGATATAAGAAATTCTTTTTGACACAGTTTTTTTAGTTAGAAGGAAAAATTACGAAGTGATAAAATTTAAGACGTAAGTACAAATTGATCGACGATGTATTTGTACAATTTTAAATTAATCATATACGATACATTGCTTTTATTTGTTTCTGTTTATTTGTTTGTGATTTGTTTGTGATTTAACATGCTTTGGCTCGTGGGAAGATGGGACAAAACTATGTCGCGGTAGACAGTAATATATTTTGCTATAATTTCATTTAGGGCAATAATTCTTACGAATGCTATTTACTTTAAAACAAAACTAGATATTCACTAATATAACTCACACAATAGTACTTTCGTGAGTATTTTACAAAAATTGACATTCTTCGATTTATTTCAATTGATTTGACGGCGCTGTAATTGTGTTAAATTAACAACAATCTAATAATAATGATGCTTTTATCGAATAGAAGGATTTTCGTGGAAGATGGATGAGATTATAACTTGCGGAACCGTTTGCGTTGCCACTTGATTAAATTTTTAACTATTTGTGAACATTCAGCGATGAATGATTGAAGGAAGAAGCAAAAGATGTTGCTTGGTTGTAATCTGGATTGTTTTATGAATAAATCCAAAGTGGCGACCCGTTGATCTTTCCCTTGATGTAGAATTCGTGTTGCAGAAGCAAAAATTCCGATATTTTCAGATTCATGTTCCGATTTAATTCATGCAGATTCGTAGATAGGTAAAGATTGATGTAGCCAAATTCTGTCGCCACCCTCTGCGAAATCAGCAGCTGCGTGGCCGTCACCTTGCAACACCCACTTCGTAGTCAACAGCCCGTCCACCCCCACCGGGCCACGTGCATGAATTCGAGCGGTCGAAATTCCCACCTTAAAGTAATAAGAAATACATACTTCGTTGAAATTTTGAGAGATCAAGTCGTTGAATTTTTGAAATTTTGAATTTTTCAATATTAACACTAAACGTACCAAGCGGGGTCAAATGACCCCTTTTCAAAATTT